TAAGAGAAGTGAGTGAGCAATATTTCAATTGTCAAGTGAAGAGACAATGATTTATTTGATTTACTCGTTTTTACTCTGGGTATGTGTTACCTTCCAAAATAGAACCTAAGGTTGGGAAAAAAGAAGTTAGCTCATGTAAGCTGCACATTCAAACAGCCCTCACACAGGTTAATTGTATTAAGAATGCTTCTGCATATCTCTGAGAGAAAATATCTTTTAAACGGTTCTTAAATGAAAAAAGTCAGGAGAGAGCATGAATACTTTGCTCTCTAGAGATACCATCACACAGATGAGTCACTTACAAGGAAGTACTTTTGAACATAAGAAGTGCATGATGCCAAAGAGTACTTTGGTCTCACTTTGTCATTTGACACATGTTTTCTCAGGAGAGGATTTTTCTTCCGTGTTGCTTTTACTGCGTTCTGAATACTGGTGATGAATCTTAGAATGAGCAGGTATTTAGAATCTTAGTTTTCCAGACTTAATCTCTAATCCATCTCCTGAAAAGTCACTGATATGGTACATACTCTCAGTCATGTTCACAGACAAAACAAAGGACGAATAAAAATTCTAATAATTTGGATTTGGGATGTCTGCAATCCTTGTGAGTGACTGACAGTCACCCATCTAACTTTGAAATTTCTCTATTATTTTAGCAAGACAGAACCTTTCATCTACTTACTGCAAAAGTCACAGCATGGAAGGGTAAGGAGAGATTTTTCTGGTGTCAGGAAACAAGCACTAGAGGGAATGTAAAACCATCAACAACAATAAAGATGCTCTGAAAGAGAACTGGGTACCATAAGATTTATCAATCAGGTTCTCACAGGAAAAAGATAGTCTGCTCTCATTAGGTACTTGGAGAAAGTTTAGAGAAGGGGCCTCTTATACACTGTGGACAGAGGAAATTTAGAAAACACAGGGACATTGATAGTATCGATAAGAAAATTAAATCCCATCTGAAGGGGTGAAGAAAGACTGGAATGCAGAAGAAGAGTTGGGTAGAAAGGCCACGAAGGGAAGAGCTGTGACCTTTGGTGTAGGACTGCAGTTAATCAGAGATGGCCCTGCAGAGATAGAGGTGGGATAATGGATACCCCAGCCTTGCTTTTCTACTTCCACAGGGCCTCTGACTTGGACTTCCCATTGGCCAGCCAGGCAGAAGTCAGAGAGCAAGAGACCCCACTGATGTAGTGCAACTAGATCAGCCTCAGGGGGCAACGAGCTAGGGTGAAGTGTGATTCTGCAGAGGCAAATGAAAACTATGTGACCCAGATGGGATTTTTCAGATACAATTGGAGACATTTTAAATAGGATGGTCCCTAAAAAAGAAAAGAGAAACACAATAAGAGAATCCTGTGACTTTCAGATCTTCATGAACTACAGAACAATCTTTCCAGAGAAACCCAATACCTCCCTAAAAAGTACTTGTGACCATGCAGTGCAATGACACATGTGACCAGTGGTTCAGACACTTAACATGTGCAGGATTTCTGATTTGAATTTTCCTGAGTCTTTGAACTCTATATGCCATTGCCTGGATTATGCCAACTTTGTGTGAAGAGGGACAGGTGGGAAGGGGAGGCAGTGGGGATTGAGAGCTGGGAAGAGGCTCCATTCTGGTTAGTTCTCGCTGCATAACAAACCATTCGGAAGCTCACTGGTTAAAAACAAAAACCATCATTTATTTGTTCTCATAAAGCTGCCATTTGGGCAGGACTCAGTGGGAATGGATCATCTTTGCTTTCTGCAACTTCGCTTGAGATGGCGGGGCAGCCGCAGGGCCTGCTTCTGTGTTGCCTCATTTGCATGGCGGGCAAGTTGGTGTGAGTCACAAATGAAAGGTGAGCTGGGAAGTGGGCCAGTGACTTCAGGCCCTCTGCATGGGGGCCTCTCAAGAGGCAGCCTGGGCTTTCTCACAACATGACAGTCAAGTTCCAAGGGCAAGAACCCCAAGAGGGCAAGGAAGCATTGCCCACATGTAACCTTAGAGTCACAAGGTGTTGCTTCAACCATCTGCTATTAATTGAAACGGTCCCAGATCTGCCCAGTTCCAAGGTAGAGGACACAGGCCCCGCAACTCAGTGGCAGGAGTAACAGGGTCAGGTTATAGGAAGAATAAGTAGAAGCTACTGTCACAGCTATCTATAGAAACTACAATCTACCACTATTGCAAATCATCGTAAATTCAAAAGAAAAAATGAAATGGTCTTTACTACCAAAACATATGCCATATTTGTGAAAGCACCCTCCTAATCCCATCTAAAACATGTTCAAATATGCCCTTCTCAGCTTCTTTCCTGATATTTTTTAATTGTTCCTCATAAATCCTCGTTAACCATTTTATTTTTTCCTCCCGTTCGTCCTGTGATTTATCAGCATATTCCTTTTCTACTAGTTTAATTTCATTATTTAATTGATCAGTGTAGATCTTCCTCAGGTCTTCTTCCCGTTGCTTCAGCCTCTTCTCTGTGTCCTCATAAATGGCATCGGTAAAGTAAGCCCCTCCGTTGCTCTTCACCATCTCCTCTATCAGCTCCACCAGCTCCTGCACTTGAGACTCCTTCTCAGCCTCTGAGGCTCTGTTGTTGAAGGCATAGTAGCGGTTCCCACACTCGCTGATGATGTTTCTCAGCTTCACATCTGCATCTGCTAAGAAGTCACTCAGGCTCTGCCCCTCCAAGTTATCTTTGCGAGTGAACAACATGATCATGTGCCTCAAGGCTGGCTTCCCAAAGACAGTCTTGATCAATGCCACGGTCTTCTGCTCTTCATCCGTGTAGCGGTCCAGCTGGAGGACCAAGACGATGGCATGGGGCCCAGGGCAGGAGTAGAGGACACACCGGCTGATTTCCCTGCACGTCGTATCCAGGGTCTCCTTGGTGTCAAAGAGCCCTGGGGTGTCAACAACAACAAGTTTCCTCCCCTTCCATTTCTTGGATGCTTTTTGACACTTGGGAGTGACAGCATTGGGAGCAAGTCTAGACTCAAAGACTCTACTCCCCAGGATGGTGTTGGCCGTTGCGCTCTTCCCACTTCCAGTTTTCCCCACCAAAACAATCCTCAGAGTGTTGTCCTGAGGGTCTTCCGTGTCACTACCAGTGGCTGTGGGGTGTAAAAAAGAGAAGGAGAAGGAAAAGAGTCAACGAAGGTAAGTGGAAACCATCACGTTCCTCTTATCTCCTTTGTGTTTCTCCATGAAAACCTGCAGTAGTGTACTACCCATGCTGGTCCCATAAAGACAAAAAGATGAAACAATTCAAGCACCATGGAAGAAACAATAAAGTAGTTAAAGTGTTCCCCTACAAAAGAGTACCAGTCCCAGATGGTTTCATGGGGATCTCACTTAACCTTTCTTAAACTATTCCTGATGACTTAAAACAGAAGGAAATCTTTCCTGTTCATTCTATGCCACAAGTGTGATATTGATCCCAAAGTTTAACAAAGATTTCACCAATAAATAAAGCTACAGACATGTCTCATTTGTGAATACTAATGCAAAAATCCCAAATAAATTGTCAGACACTAAAAAGTAATACCCCATAATTAAATGTGATTCATTTCAGAAATAGTAGGGTGGTTCAATATGAGAAAATGGATTGTTACAATACATCCTCTTTAGTAGAGTTAAGAAGAAAAGTACTTTGATGTAGAACAGACATTTCCCCAAATTCAACGCTGTTTTAATAGATACTTCTTTCACGTGATTTTATAGAAATATAAATTTTAACAAATTTGTCACCATTTTTTCTCTGTAGCTAATATAGTTGACTATAATCTTCATTTGGATGAATGAAGAAAGAAAATTAGCCTGTAGAGTCAAAAAAGAGAAGAACGATGAGGGAGGGCCATGTCTACCAGATAGTAAAATATTTTAGCCCCTATAATTAAGGCCGTATGACGTGTGTGTGAACAGAGACAGAACGGAAAACAAAAACAGACAATTCAGAGTTAGACCAAATTGGTCTACTATATTCATGAGTATCCAGTGCAATTGTATTACATTACATTTATCGTCCGTAAGACAGCCTCTCACAGCAATGGGGAGAAAGATGGACTAATAACCAGCATTGGGATAACTACAAAACCACACAGAAAAAGACAAAACTGCACCCACATCTTCATGCCATTCACATGCTAAATACATTAGAAACATAATACTAAAAATCAATCCACCTAAATACTAGAAGAAACTCAGACCAATCCTTTGTAACCTAGGGGCGGGGCAACTCTTTCTAAGATTTGAAAGATTGTAAGGAAAAGGATTCATACATCTGACTGCATAAAGACCTAAAAGACAATGGGAGACAACGAACATCACAATTAAAATATGAATGTCAGACTATATCAAAGAGGGTTAATTCTCCTCTTATACAAAGAATACCTAAAAGTAGAGAGACAAATATCCAACAGCTCGATAGAAAATGGATCAAGACATAGGAATAAACAGTTCAAAGAAAAAAAAGAAATGCCAATGCTCCTCAACTATGTAAAAATATATGAACACTCACTTAAAGTAGAGAAAAATCCAATATAGGAAAAGAAAATAACTAAATATAGTAAATTAAAATTACAATGAGATACTATTTCTCCACTTATGGATTTGGCAAAAATCAAAAAATTTGCTGCTATAATCAGTCAGTAAAGTTTTAGAGGAAACAGGTTCTCTTCTCCATGGCTAATGAAATTGAAAAACAGTCTAAAACCTACTGAGGAGAAATTGGCAATATCATACAAATTACATATACATTTATTCTTGGATTCTGAGTCCCAATTTTAGGATTTATGCCTGTAGTGGTCAAGGGCAGATCACACCTAAACGTGCAATGTTGGCATACTATTTTTTTTTATTTTTTTACATTTATTTATTTTGGAGAAACAGAGTGAGACAAAGCGTGACCGGGGGAGGGGCAGAGAGAAGGAGACACAGAATCTGAAGCAGGCTCCAGGCTCCCAACAAGCAGTTAGCACAGAGCCTGACGCTGGGCTCCAACCGACGAACTGTGAGATCATGACCTGAGCAAAGTCGGACCCTCAACCGACTGAGACACCCAGACGCCCCGGCATACTGACTATTTTAAATAAAAGTTACTTAGGGGCGCCTGGGTGGCGCAGTCAGTTAAGCGTCCGACTTCAGCCAGGTCACGATCTCGCGGTCCGGGAGTTCGAGCCCCGCGTCAGGCTCTGGGCTGATGGCTCAGAGCCTGGAGCCTGTTTCCAATTCTGTGTCTCCCCCTCTCTCTGCCCCTCCCCCGTTCATGCTCTGTCTCTCTGTCCCAAAAATAAATAAACGTTGAAAAAAAAATTAAAAAAAAAAAAGTTACTTAAGATACAACCTATGTGGGAAGATTACTAAGACCCTCTTCTGCCCCTCTTCTGCCCCCTGCAAGCAGGAAACAAATCTCCCATGTAAAAGGTCCCCTTCCTGTCCAGGAGGTAAAGAGACACTCTAATGACAAGGGGTGGGAGATTTAGAGCCAAGAAGACTGTATAAACAGCCCACTACTTTCTACTAATTTACTACCCCAGCCCAAATTCTCTTTAGAATTCCTCCCTAACAGATGCTCCCAAAGTTAAGTTTTCCATGTTTTGTCAATCCCTCACAGATCCATCGTCTCTTTGCCTAAAAAGTATAAAAACTGCATGCCTTGGTCATTTTTCTTGGTCTTAGTTTCATTACTGAGCATTTGTGCACACTGCTTTTTTTTCTCTTGTTTATCTGCCTCAAGTGAATGTAATTCTTAGTGCAGCTGGAAGACCTTGAAGGGTAGAGGAAGAAGTTCCCCTTCCTTTTATCCCAGAGCTACACTGACAAAACCACAGGAAAAGATAAGGCATATGTTTATTCTCTGCATCACTATTTGTAATAATTAAAGAC